ATCGAACTCATGCGGAAGTGGCTTTAGCTTCTTAGTGCAGTGCTTTAACCCGCTGCACCACCAGGGAGGGCATCCTCATTCATTAATTTTAATAGTTTTTTTTTTTTTTGAGTGCTTGTGGTTTTCCACATACATCTAGAAATAGCAAGTATCTGGACACTTCATTTCTAATTTTGAATATTTTTTCCCTTTCAGTTCTATGTTTAATGGAATTGGTGAGGTTGTCTTTATCCTAGAGAAAAAGTCTTCAATTTTTCCATTGATAATGTTAACTATAGAATTTTTCATAAATAAATGGCCTATTGTGTTGTATCTCTTTGAGATGGCCATGTGTTTTCAGTCTATCATTCTGTTAACAAAATTGATTGATTTGCACATTTTAAGCCAAATTGTTAACATTTGGGCCAATGTGAGAAGCCAATTTTATTGGGTCTGGATTTTTGAGGTAGTACTGAGTTTCAATCTGGGATGAGTTATGTGGAAGCAATTTAGGTTTTTTTCAGTGTTGGATTTTCAGATTTGTTAGGCAGAACAGAAGCAGTGCTAAATCTAGGACCAACTATTCCCAGCTAGTAAGGAAGCACTCTTCTAATGCCACCTAACACTCCATGAAAAATGAGGGCTTTAATCTCACAATTAAGAACAAGCACTTCTCCTGACTGTTGTGAGTACTAATACGTCATATTTTTTCCGGAGATTTTACCCTAACCTCAAGAATATTTCTTCTATATATGTATGGATACTTGAACTGGATACTTGAACTGCAGATCTCTGGACTCAGTTTCATCTTTGTTGAGTGAGCTTGCCAGGCTCAGCCTAGGGACCCCTTATCTATATGACAGTCTGGACACTCTCGATGAAACAATTATCAGCTCATCTGTCTATTTTTCATCTCTCATATATCATGATTCTTTTTTTTCCTGATGTCCAATATCTGAAAAATCATTGAATCATGTATTATGTTCTTTTTTTTTATCTGTTCCCCCTGAGGTAAATTTAGTCCCTTTTGTTTCATTTTGTCCAATATCAGATCTCAAGAAACTTTTATGTTAATTCGTGTACATTTTTCCCAAAGATGTGCCGATTCTCATCAGTAAAAGTCCTCCTCCAACTCACTTTAAAATACTTCTTCTGAAACAGTTGCTCACATTTGTGTAACACACAGTAACATAACTTTACTGCATATATTAAGATAACATGGTTTTACTTTGGAAAGGTAACTTGTGAAATACTGATAATAAGGAATCTTCATGTGACAAAGGATAAATACTTAGTACAAAAGACATAGAAAAATTTCCTAGGGTCAACCTTTTCTGGATAAATCCAAATCCTACATGTGACAACAATCTCATCTAGGGGTTCAAATTGCATTTTGAATATACTCACCATGGTGGACAGGGGCACTGCTTATCTCTACCAGGCTGTTATCATACTGAACTGGATTTGCCCTCGGAAGGTGGCCTTTCCTAACAGTAAAAGAAGAAACAGACAAGTGGAAAAAGTAGGCAAATGGGAAAATGAAAAGTGAGCTTAAACTAAAATATTTGGAAGTTCACTTTCTTCCCTATGGCTGTCCTTTTTGCCCTTTATTTTTAATCAATTGATCATTTTTTAGTTTATGTTTATCCTTCTTCTAGTCTGAAATTTTGTGTTTTGATTTAATATTTCAATGCTATTCTAGACATTTTAATATTCATTCTTGACATATCAAGATCTCTGTGTAATGTGTATATTCATACTCCTACCATGCAAAAACCTTGGTCCACATTCATCACAATCCTGTTAACTTGTATTAACTTGTTGCCCATTACTACCATGTATTTTAATTGCTCTTTTCAAAATCGTTAAAAATTATGCAAGACTTGTTTTGATTTATTCTCATAATGGTTTTCTCTGTTCTTTTTTGCATCTCACAAATGCAAAAAAATTTATTTCCTTTGGCTGAGATTTAACTGAGGGCAAACTCCCAGGTTTTGTTCATATAAAAGTATCTTCATTTTACTCTCACTCTTTTTTTTTTTTTAAAGATTTATTTATTTGTGCATACAGAACTGGGGTACAAGCCAGAGGCTCAGGGCGCGGCGAAAGGCTTCGCCAGAGACAGAGTGGGGAGCAGAACAGGCAGATCGACGAAGTACACTGCTGAGGGGAGCAGCGGGCGGGTCAGGAGAGGTCTGCCACGCCATGTGGTCACCTCCGGGGCAGGCGGGGATCGAACTCATGCAGAAGTGGCTTTAGCTTCTCAGTGCTGCGCTTTAACCCGCTGCGCCACAACCCGCTGCGCCACCAGGGAGGGCCTTACTCTCACTCTTAAAACATGTTTTCATGAATACAGAAATCTGGCTTGATGGTTAATTTCTGTGAGCATACTGCAAATATCCTTGCTTTGTCTCCTGGTTTTGCTTGACTCACTTATAAATCAGTTTAATTGTTGCAGCCTTGAAGATTCTCTCTCACTTTTTAAAGCATTTTTTTTTTTTTCATTTTCTTTTTGAGATTGGTATTCTACACTTTTATTAGGCTGTGCCCTAGTACAGCAAAATGTAATTTATTTTTATTCATCATGCTTGAAATTTGTTGACCTTCTGGAATCTATGAGGGATATCATCAGTTCTGAAAAAAACCACAGCCATTACTTTTTCAAATATTGTCTCTACCCTATTCTCTCTTCTGAAATTCCAAATAATATGTACCTGTGTGTGTGTGTATATATATATATATATATATTTTTTTTTTTTTTTTTTTTTTTTTTTTTTTTACTTTGCTTGACCTCTCTGTAATCATTTCCATTTATGTTTATCACAAAATTACCTCCTAGGCAGTTTCTTCTCGTCTACCTTCCAATTCATTAATATTGTCTTTCACTGTATCTAACCTTTTGTCAAAAACATAGACTAAAGTTTTTAAATGTTACTGAACTGAGACATGTATTGAGGGTTTTTTAAAATTATAATTATGTTCTATTTATTGGGAGTTCTGTTTTGATCTTTTTAAAGTCTCCTATTTATAAGGACCTCCATTTTTTATACATATATATCTTAAATTATATGTCTATTTCTCCCAATAAGTAGATTGTGAATATATGTCTTTATTATTGATTATTTCTGCAGGTTCTAGTTCATGATGCCTCTTCTATGTTTGGCAATTGCTTTATTTACTATGAGATGCTTGAATAAACATGATTCAAGAATTAATTTGCACTTGCCTCTGTCAACCACATGGGGGCACTTCCAGACTGAATTAGTTTGCATCTTTCCCACCCCATCAGTCTGCAAATTCAGGATGCAAATCCACAAAATATGGATGCAAAATCACAAAGGGTGACTGGAGGCTCCTTTAGTCCTTGCATCAAGTGATTAAAATTATCAAAACCTGCTTGACAAAGCACAATAGTTATATAATATGAATGGAAAAGTCTTAAGTCACTAAACTGTTAGGGTTAATAGTCACTGTATTCAAACTAGCATATCCTGGCTAATATTATAAAAAGTACTTGTTATACAATTAGTGGCCGATGAAAATTATATTTTACAAGCTAGAACTATAGCAATTAAAGAAGAAGTTAGTCATTTGGTCCTTCCACAGCATATCAGACTAGCAAAATATTTAAAAGGGTAGAATAAGAATGACAGAATGATTGCTCATCATTCTGTATTTTTCCAAACATATTTAAAGGGAAGAGTAAACCTAATTTCAAAGATGTTTGTTCTGGTTATCCACCACTGCATAACTAGTCAACCCAAATATAGTGGATTAAAACAATTTACTTCTTATTTTCTGTGGTTTGGCTGCTGGGTATTTTTGCTAGGGGTCACTGTGGTTGCAGAAAACTGGAAAATACAGTCTGTGACTATACTCGACAATCACATACAGGTTCAAGTGAACTGGTTGTCTGCGGTAACTACTGACTGGCAGGTAATAATAAGAATCATAAGAATCACCTGGGGTTTGCTCTCTGTGTTATTTAAGTTTCTCACAACATGGTGGCTGGTTTTGTGAGAAACTACCCAAATTATGGGAGGCAAATGTGGAAGCTGCCAGGTCATAGCCTTAAGTGGAATTACAGATATTTTAAATTTCTACAATATTCTATGGTCAATCAGCCACAATACCTGCCCATTATTCAAGAATTTAAAGAAAATAAAAACTACCTGTTGCTGTGTGAGTGGAAAGGTCACATGCAGAAGGACATGGGCAGTGTCTTTGGGAAATATAATCTATGTAGTAGTATACTTGTATTTATATTTTCATATATGAAATAATCATACTAAAATTATGAGATAAAACACTAAGTTAAACATTTTGGAATAAAATGTAATGCCTATTTTGTAAGAGCAATTTTTCTTCAATTTTTAGTTACTGTATGGTATAATTCAGAAATGGGGATTTTATGAAAAGGAACTTTATGTGTATGTTACCTCTCTTAGAGTGTGAACTTCTCATAGCATTGCATCTCTTTTATGATAACACTCCACTTCATTTGCTTTTTTACAAGTATTTGCTAGCATGGTGTGAATTTAGTAACTATTACATAATAATGAGAGTTATGATGACAGGTAACTCCTAAATTTAATAAATTCTATATTCACTTATTTTCACAAATTTCAGAAAAAGTTGAAGACCAAAATTAATAAATGAAAGTACCTCAGTGAATAGCATTGCTTCATATTAATAGTTTTTTCCTTTGATCACTCTGATGAGTTACTACTTGTCCCAAATAGACTGCTTACTTGTCTATTTCTCCAAGATAATTTGTCTCTGAAAAGTTTGAGGACATATCTCTCTTGTATCACTAATGAATTTTCAGTAGCTACTAACACTAGTCCTTTAATTAATAAACATATTTACATTTACACTTAACAGCTATAAAACATTGTTCCTCTTACAGAAATACTACTAAAAATCCTCTGATGACTGTGTTGATGAGAACTATTTTATTTCAGGTCCCTTTCTGGTTCTTCTTCTTGGGAGTCCCAACTTGGAAGTTACATTTTTAAATAAATTAAGCACTCCAGAACCTAAAATGCAGAACTCAGCTCCAGTCCAGTTTTACAGCACTCCATAAATTCCAAGAAATTCAGTCCTGAAGTAGTAAGTAACAGTTTAGATTTTACAGGACATATAGAGTATGCAAATCTCTTTATCAATAACCACACTATAATAATATACATATTATATATATAGAAATATATATATATAATAGTCATAATTGTATTCTTTATGTTTAGTACAATGCCTAGTATGTAGTAGCCATCAAGAGTTGACCTGGATGTTAACCATAAGTCTTAATGTACCCATGTTATATACTTTGTTTCTTTTCTTTGACATTTTAAGTAGATATTAAAAAGACATAGCCAAAACATTTAGGTATTTTGGTCTTATTATAAATGTGTGTCAATGTTACTAATTTAGAGAAATTAAGGTAACTTATGATGACAGTAACAAAGGAAAAAAGAGAACTGCTTAGTATCCTTTCAAATGGATTATTAATTTAGTGGCAAAACTGTATTAGATAACTCTAAAACAGAAAGCCTTATCTACAAAAATATTTAGAACTAAAGGGTACATTAATTACTTAGTAGACTAATACTGCCTTTTCTTATCAAAGCATGTTTCTATATTGGTTACCTGCAAAGGAAGTAGAGGGCTCCAATAATAAGTGTTGCCAGAAGAACAGCCAATGCCAGGAATGATACAAACAGGTCACTTTTACTTTGGATGCTGGAGCTTGGGAGAAAAACCTCTTCACAACGAGCTCCTGTATAATTTTCAATGCATCTATAGAATAAAATTTTAGGTAAAGAATTGCATTCTTTGTTCTACTAATATAGAAAGCAAAGATTTCTAGTTGGTATGAAAAAAAGGAGATACATTTTCAGATTGTAAACAGAGAATAGGCATGTTTCCTTATAATACTCTAGAGCTACAATTAATGATGAAACAAATTAGCATATACAGTCTATTCTATGCTGTTTTCTTTTCCCGGTTTTCTGGTTGTTTAAAGAATTCAGATAAACTATAGAGTATTCAGTCCTTTTATCTCCTAGATTTTCAGTGATGTAATTATACATACAATTCAAATTTATCTGGTATAAATGTACGTCTAAATGTATTTTTCCTCGAAACTGCAAACTGATTGTTGAAAACCCATTTATTAATAAGTGTTTTCTTACCCACTGTTTCCCTCCTTAAACATACATTAAATTAGTATAAATAATGACATTTCATCCTATTCTTCAATATTGCTGGTTTACATACATATCTATTTGGTAACACCAACTTAACAAAAACACAGACATTGATTCTCTTCATCTATTTCCAGTGTAGGAAATACTTAGAAATGTTATTTCCTTATCTCCCACTTTAGATCAATTATAATGGGGCCTATAAAATTACATGTGAACATTGTTACATTACTAGCAATACTTTGAAAACTAATGTAATCCATTAATAAAGCAGTAGACAAATAAATATAAGAACATCAAGATATAGACCAAAGGAACAATTTTACTTAAATGAGCATATGAAAGATGTTTTAGGAGCCACAGTCCTACCCACTGTGTGGCATTAGTGCACTGGCTATAGCTTCCACTGGGTTGGCAATTTGAGCAAAACAATAGACTGGATTCTCTTAAACTATCATAAAGAGACTCAGAGAAGAAAAGTAAGGATAGAGTATAAGTGGTAAACCAAAATACAAGTTAAAGTATCTTGGGAAAATACAATAACCTAAAGTCTAAATACTAAATATTTATTTCCCCAAAGAAAATACATTTAGTAAATAATCTGAGGATAAAAAATTTTTTTGTTTCTTTTTTTTTTGTTTGTTAGTTTGTTTCTTCCCTCAACCCACATCCACTATCCAAAGGCAACTGCATGCATGCATGTACACAGACATGTGCATATGTGCACACCTACATAAACCCTGAAAGTCAACATAGAGACTATTGTGAAATGCAATACATATGTCATCACAAAATAAAGATGGAATAGGAAATACCAACATTAAAAAGATGAACAAAAATCAAGTTCTAATTTAGTTTGCAAAGTTCCTCTAAAATGACAAAGAAAGAAAAGCTAATTTTTAGAAATAAAATTCAATTAAGTAACAATTTAAATTGCTAAATGTTTTTAAATCACAGATTTAGCTGCTGCGAAAATTTCTGTTATAATTGTATATAACAACTTTCAGGTTTTGAAATAATGTTAAAACATGTTCATTTTCATTCTAGAAAAGATAACTAGAATTTTAAAGAAACAACTCTTAAAATGAGGCATGTAATCTTCTTGAAGACAAAGATATCTTTAAAGATGTTACTTTAAACTCATTTATCAAAATTTTTAAAAACTGTTTAGGTGAGATTGAACTTCAAGGAAGATGATGACAAACTAGTTAATATAACTAATATAACTGAGTTTAAAGGTCCAAGGATTGCTGTAAATTAGATTAGATCGGAAGACAAGCAAATAGCCTGACAAGGAGACCAATCAACAATCAGGTATTCTTCTGTTGTCTTAGTGCAAGGTAAAGTAAAAACTGATGACCTAGTTAAATAATGCAGTCAAGAAATACCAAGTCATTTTATTTTTTTAACTAGTCAAATCAGAAGTTAGAGAAAAGCAAAGAGACTAAAATGTTAGTATGTTATTCCAGAAGTAGAATGGCTAACTTAAAAGTGAATTTAAACTTTTAGATACGCATCACACAGTAAGTGTATATAAGAATTCTACTTTAAAAGTTCCAGATCATTTGTGAAAATGTCATTAACTCAGTTAATGACAGGCAAACAGAATAAACTCCTTTAAGGGAAAGGAAGGGTGAATTAAGATTTAAACTAATAATAGGTAGTATTAGTTGTAGAAAAGCATTGCACCAAGAATTTATGGAAAACTATGTGGCCTCCAGTCTTTATGTAATTCTTGCTAATCAATTTCTGGTTCTTACTTCTACATAAACTCCCAAACAGCAAATAGTTGTGCTATCTAAGAGATGAATACTAACCACCAAGTATTCTACATCTCCTGGAACTGAAAGGTGAACACCAGAACAGATGTAAATGTGCAATCAGGAGGAACAATCCAAATCTCAGAATCCATGCCAAATGCATTGGTTCATAGCTGAATAACACTAGTGATCTCTCCATTCTTTTGGAAACTATATTTAGTACATTGGACATGCAATAAACTCATTAAAAGTCAAAGTTTTAGCATGAATAAAATAAAGTCAAAGTTTTAGCATGAATAAAATAACCACCTTTCCAGACACTGTGCTATACTGTGAACTGAAATACAATGGTTTCTGGGGCCCAACCACCAGTGTTGCGGGATGCAGCACAACTTCCAAACTAGGCCGCACAAGGCCCTGCCTTCCAACAGACAGCCCAGACATCAGCTGGTAAGTGCCCCTAGGCCCACCTACTAACACTGCAGGACTTAGAACAGATGACAGGCTATAAATAACCCTACCTGCCCACAGAGAGCCCCAGATGTCCTTGGGTACATAGCCCTAGCCCCTAGTAGGGGGTGCAGCCACATCAAGCTGAAAGACAAACCCATAGCAGTAAGACCCTGAAAACAAAGAGGAGTCAAAATAAGACAATGAATGGCCACAGAAGTCCTAAATCCTATACTGCAGAAAGAACAAATTTCTGGAACCTAACTACAAAGACATTGAAAACCTATTTCTCCTAACAGAAAAAGAGTTCAAGCTTGTCATCGTAAAGGCAGAAAAGGTGGCTTCATGGCTGGGAGTTAAACTCATGCCGCAGTGGCTGGAAATAGTTCGATAGTTTTGAGACTTTAACACCTGTGCGACCAGGGAAGCCCTTTTTCCTGTTTCTTGATGTGGGCCTACCTGGTAGTGGAGGAGCAAAAGTCTCAGTACTATCAAGCTATTTCCAGCCAGGGAAATAACCCACATGGCACAGCAGACCTCTCTTGTCTCTCCTGCTGCTTCCTTTGGCAGTGTATTTCAGTATCTTCACCTGTTCTGCTCCACTTCATCTTTGGTGAATCCTCTCACCCCCACACTTTTGGCTTAACCCCAGCTCTTGTATGCATAAATAAATAAATATAAATTTTGTATGCATAATAAATAAATGTAAATATACAAAAGAAAGAATAAAAGAAGCTTATGAGGAGGAAAAAGTAGGTATCTTATGGAGGAAAACCTATTAATCTATCATCAGACTTCCCAGAAGAAACACTAGAGGCAAGAAAAGAATGGAATGACATGTCAAAATATTGTAAGGCAAATATGCCAGCCAAGAATATTTTATACTGAAAAACTCTCCTTCTTATATGAGGGAAAAATAAAGATCTCAGACAGTAAATCTTAAGAAATTCACTATTACTACCCCCCGTTTTCAATAACTTTACAAGAATCCTTAAAATTTAGACCAACACAGGAATGAACATGAAGAACTGAACGACATATTGAACAGAACCACAAAATGATGAACAAAATGGCAATAACAAACTTCCACATGTCAATAATCAGTTAATGGATTGAACTCACCAATAAAGAGACAGATTAGCATGCTAGATTAGAAAACTGACTCCAATCTTTTGCTGCCTCTAGAAAACACAGTTAAGTTCTAAAGATAAACATATATTAAAAGTAAAGGGTTGGAAAACAATTCTACAAGAAAAAGGCCCCCCAAATGTGGCAAGAACAACCATACTTAAATCAGATAAAACAGACCTCTGACTAAAAAAAAAAAATGACAGAGATACAGATGAAGACTATATAGTAATCAAGGATACGATAGACCAGGGAGACATAACACTTGTCAACATATCTTCACCAAGTGAGAGACTACCAAAATATATTAGACAATTACTATTATTGCTGGAAAAAAAATACATTGAAGAAAATACATATGAGGTACGAGACTTCAACACAAGGACACAATAGCACCAGAGAGCTAGACCTCATTGGCCTAAAAGACATCTATAGAACACAACACACTCAAAACACCAAATACACATTTTCTTCAAAAGCACATGGACTATTCTCTAGGAACAAATGGGTCACAAGACAAACATCAACAAATACATAAAGATTGAAACATACCAAGTATCTTCTCTGAAAATAAAGGTATCAAACTAGTGTGAAATATAAAAAAGAAAGCAAGAAGACAACCATCCCCCCAACCCACTGTGTGGAGACTGAACACTATAGAAAGACCACTAGATTAATTAGAAAATCAAAGAAGAAATTTTAAAATATCTTGGAAAAATAATGAGGACACAACCTTTCAGAATATATGTGACACAGCAAAAGCAGTGATAAGAGGAAAGTATATAGCAATATAGGCCCACATCAAGAAACAAGAAAGGACCCCCAAAATCAACCTAATCTCCCATCGTGAGAAACTAGAAAAAGAACAACAAAAAAGCCAAAAGCCAGTAGAAGAAAGGAAATAATAAAAATTCAAGCAGAAACAAGTAAAATAGAAATAAAAAAGGCAAACCAAAATGTAGATGAAACCAAATGTTTGTTCTTTGAAAAAACAGACAAACCCCTAGCCAGGTTCACAAAGAAGAAAACTCAGATCAACAGGATCATAAATGAAAGAGGAGACATTACAATAGAAACAGCAGAAATCCAGAGAATAATCAGAGATTTCTATGAACAATTATATGCTAAAAAAAAAAAATCAATATCTGGAGGGAGGACAGATTGTTAGAATTATACAATGTCCAAAACTGAACAAAGAAGATATAGAAAACTTGAGCTAATGAATTACAAGCAAGCACACTGCAACAGT